CGCTGGCCAGTGGCTTCTCCCAGGAGCAGTTCCGGGAGGCCTGTGCCGAGCTCCAGCAGCCCGCGCTGGCCGGGGCCGAATGGCAGCTAATGATGGAGACCCTGGGCATCAGCATCTACCGGCTGCTGGACCAGGTAGCGGCCTGCCTGCTGCAGGACCGCGGGGCTGCCGCGTGCCAGGGCCAGCCTTCTCGGGGAGCCTGGGGCTGCAGCCGCGGAAGTCCGACCCGGCGGGTCTTTTGGAGCTGGGAGGAGCGAGCGCCGGGCGGTGCCTCCAGCTGACTCTGTCCCGGTTCGGGGAGGGGGGAGGTCATCAGAATTCAGCCTTAGGTCTGAGGCCCCACGGGGGTGTGGTTTGTGAGAAGTTAACTGTCAAGTTAAGACGTGGGTCTGCTGACTCGTAGCCTCATGCACCGCGGGAGTGGGTGCCAGTGGTGTGTGTATGTGGGGAATATCCTCGGGTGGAATCCAGGTGGAAAAAAACACGGCTTTTCAGAGACTGGATGTGCAGGATGGCCGGTGTGTGGGAGGGAGTGTCGCTGAGGAGGGACTTCCTATCAACTCTAGCCATTCCAGCGACCTGCTTCTTCTGGCTGCTGCCCCTTCCTTGTAAGTTGCACTCATTAACTTTAGTCTGAAGCTTCAGAGGGAAGGATTCACTGAAGGCCTGGGAGGAATGGAGTTGGTCATTAAGCAGGTCTCCAGGCGGCCCTGCAGGCCTTTGGAACAAGTCGCCATCCAGGTGGGAGGATCATATTGCACCTGAGCCCTGTCATCAGTTGCCCTGTGTAATAGCAGTTCATGACAAGTAGGTTAAAGGTCATCCTTAGGCAAGGTAAGTGAAATCCAGGTTTCCTGGCAGAGGACCAGAGTATTATAGTGTTAGAGCAGGGAGGAGCTCTGGATGTCTTGCTGCATATACCACTGGGTGTAGCAAGGTGAGCAAGTTCACAGTGTAGAGCAGATGGAATTAATTTCCTAGGGAAATTTCAACAGTTACCTTGGTGCAGAATTGGACAAGTTTCCAGACAAGATGCATTTATCTTCTCTCAGATTATTCCATTTTCCTTTAACAGCCGCATCCAGGCGTTTGCCAAGGTTTGTCCATTCGATTGTGCAGACATATCTGACATCGGGCCTGTTTCCTTTCCCTTTCCTCTATGTTTGTCACTGTGGATGGTACTTCTCACCTAGAATTGCTGTGACCTCTTAACTAGTTTCCCAGCTTTCCTCCTACACATTGCAGCCCAAGCAAACACCCACAAGGCTATGATCTTATCGCTCCCGTTTTCGTGGCATTGCTGATTGCAGAATTAATAATAACTGTTGTAACAGCGAATACATTTCATGCTTTCTAATGTTCCAAGCACTGTTTAAGTCTTTGCAGGTACTGAATCCTCACATCATCCCTAATGTAAGGTGCTATGATTATACTTTTTCTTTTTAACTTGTGTGTATGAAAATGAATCTATAGAAAGGTTAAGTTGCTTGTTCAAGATTTGAACTGGAGTCAGAACTCAGCTGTCTTGCTCTAGTCCTGTGTCATAAATATGCTTCCATAGCCTCTCCGAGGGAAGGCAAATATTGCTCGCAGGTTATCCTGAACTAGTTTGGTCTTTTTTAAAAAATGTTATTTTTATTATTATCATTATATATGAAATAATTTGGTCTTAACTCATATATTTCCAGCTTTATCTCCCATAATTTATGCACACTGCTCCTGTCCTCTAGCCACCCATACTCCCTACCCTATGGGCCTGTGCTTTTTTGCTTTGTAGGGGCCACTTTTCTCTTGTGGGGGGTGGGGGACCGGGCGGTTTGAGTGGTATTTAAACAGTTCCTATCCCTACTAACCATTCTATATGTCTTATTTCCACCTGCTCTGGGGATGAAGACAGTCATGGTACACTGATGTAAATTAGCAAGCTTTCACCAGTTTGGAGGATCATAAGATTCCCAAAGGTGTGCCATTGAGCCTCAGCAGACAGGATGGAGGGCCACTGCCCCTAGCCATTTTGATCTCCATCTATTAAAGTGTGGAGGCCCTAGTGGCTCAGGCCACACACCAGCTCCTTCCCAGAACCCTTACTGGCCTTTAGCATCGTCCAGCAGGATTCGCTGCCTGGCCCACTTTGCTAAAGGCTCATTGGTTTTCCAGGTTGACGCCCATCCCTACCTCCCTCCTGCAAGAGAATTCCTTCTGAGCTTTAGTTGGTGAATCTTTTCTTATGAACACCCATCGATTTGGGGTCGTTGTGTTTTCATTTGTCTCAAGCTATGTTTTGATTTTGTCCTTGATCTCGTTGTTAACTCATTCTTTAGTATAAATGTTATTTAGCCTCCATGTGTTGGTGTGTTTTTCAGGTTTTTTTCTTGTAATTGAGTTCTAGTTTCATACCACAATGGTATGAAACTAGATGCTTGATATACTTTCAAATTATATTTACTGATATGTCCCAATATATCCACCACAGACCCGGTTTTCTACCTATTGTCCTGGCGAAAATTTTTACAACTGCCACTCTCCAAAGTGTGCCAGCTGGAATGGTAAATTATAGGGTGACCCTATATATATAGCTACAGGCACGCAGGCAGCTTCTGACTTATCTAATGATGTGTCAGAGAGTCCCGAGGCCACGGGGTACGAGCATAGGCCATGGGCTCCGCTGTCAGATCACTGGCTTCATGCCCACGTTCGGCCTTCATTAGTTGTGTGACCGTCGGTGAGTTTTATAAACTCTCTTATTTATGGAGGTATCATTTATATGAACTTTATTGGCATATCATTTACAAATAATAAAACCCACTTATTTTAAGTACAATTCAGCGATTTTTAGTAAATGTATGCAGTTACGCAACCTTCGCCATCATCTCATTTTAGAACGTTTGTGTTGCTCCCAAAGGAAACCTCTTGCTTGTTTGCAGTCACCTTGTTCCCACTCCCAGCCACCAATCTACCTCCCGTCTCTACCTTTTCTCAAAAGGTTTGCCTTTCCCAGGTATTTCTCAGAACTCCTTTAAGCCTTTGTTTCTTTGAAAAATTGGTGTATCTCCTGTTATCATTGTGGATTAAGTGGGCTAACCCATGTGAAGCATTCGGCGCAGTGTGGTATTTAGTCAGCTACCTCTCATTAACGTTCTACCCAGCCATCTGCAATCCTAAGAGACGAAACCTACCCTGCTTTCTTTGAGAGATGGAAACGATTAAATCAGACTTCGCTGTCCCCACACAGTCTTGGTACACACTGCCCAGTGGCAGCTGTAGCGTTGGCTCTTGCCATTAGAACTGGTTCTCTCTGGTGAGAAATGCTTACTTTTCATTCCATCTGAGTCTGTTGCTTGCCAGAGTAGCTGGCGTTGGACAGCTTCCACAGCCATAGGCTGGGAAGGCTTCCTGTCCCCCTGAGGAATAGAAATGAGCTCTTCTGTGAAAAGCAAAGAAAATCCAGTGCACAGTCCAGGGTGTGCTTACAGGATTAGAGAAATGGATTCATCAAGGCTCTCTGGAAGTTAGTGATGTAAATGTGGATAAACACCATAAATTGAAGAGAAAGAATGAGGTCAGTTGAGGGGTAGGTAGGGGGTTGGGGGCCCACTAGGGATTGCTTATCCGTGGGAACCGCAACGTCAAATGCAAACATTGTGACATTTGGCTATTTCTCATGTATACAGATGTTAGCTCTTACAGAATTTATTATGCTTAGGATAAATACATGTACCATTATTGGCAGTTCTGTTCCTCAACATATGTTAACCCTGTGGATGCAAGTGAAACGAAATTGAACAGTTTTCTTTCAGGCATTTGAATAACCATTGCTAAGAAATACAGAAGCTTGCCTGGCCAGTGTGACTCAGTGACTGTGTCGACCTATGAACCAGGCGGTCATGATTCAATTCCCAGTCAGGACACACGCCTGGGTTGTGGGCTCAATCCCCAGTGTTGGGCATGCAGGAGGCAGCCGATCAATGATTCTCTCTCATCATTGACATTTCTATCTCTCCTTCTCCCTTCCCTTCCTCTCAGAAATCAAGAAAAATATATCAAAAAAAGAAGGAAGGAAGGAAGGAAGGAAGGAAGGAAGGTAGCAGCTTGATGTATTAGACCAGTTAGCCAGAATACCAGGGCATCTCAAAAATCAGTGATTTTAGTATTAAGTGGCCGAACCACTCCGCCGCCGCCCCCCTCCCACCCCCCACCCCGGTCTTCATTTATAAAGTGGAGATAATACCATGCTGACTTGGCAGGATTATTGTGGCTATTAATCATTAAGCACAGTGCCCACTTAGAGTAGGTACTCTGTAGATACTCGTTTTTCTAAAAACATGCATTATGTTGCAGTTCTGAATCCTGAGTTCTTCAATCTGGAAAAAGAGCGTCCTACTGACCTTATTAATGAAAGTGATGTGTAATAAAAACTAAGTACTTATTATGGGATGAACTTTAGGCGGGTCATTTAATCTTCATAGTCATTTCCCTTAGGTAGGAACTCTCATTAGACGCACTGGGCCGCTGAGAAGACCAAGACCAGTCGGTGGGAGAGCTTAGGCCCTATGCTGGCTGTGCCTCCGAGCCCCTGCCGTCAGCACCAGGCTGTATGTAGGTTCTGGCTACAATTTTCTGTATTTTCATGACTCTTTGGAACAACATAAAGAAAGACAGCACAGCCCAGCTCCGTTGAAAGTGATAATATTCATCCTTTCCCCATTCCCAGCTTTCCTTGGTCCTTATCTGAAACCTCCAGAAGCAGCATCTAAAAAGTACCTCTTGTGGTAGTTGGAGGCCCATTGGACAAACACGGGGCTGAGGGACTCAGGGGAGCATCGCAGTGGGAGGTCCATCCTGGGTGGTCTGGGGCAGAAGCACTGGCTTGAGGACCGGAAGGAACAGGTTTCCATCCAGGCTTTGCCACCAACAGTGTTGTTGAGTGACGCTTGGCAAGTCACTGCCATCTTTTACTGAAGGGCCTAAGGCCCCTTGTGGCTGTAATATTATGTGTGATGGGGCTTGTTTACCTTAAGCGTTAGCGTGTGGTCTGCAACAGTGGTTTGGACAGAGCAGAGCTAAAGAAGGAGACATTGTGGGCAGTAGGAGGGGCCGGTGTCACCCTTGTTCTGTCCCAAGTACGAGCTGTAGGGCTCAGGCACATGATTTAGCCTCACTTCAGGTCTTTGTGTAAAGATGGAGGCAACACCAGTGTTTCTATCTATGTGGCAGGCAGGGCTGTGTTACAGAGCACATGAGATCATGAATGTAAGTCCGGAAACGGCACCGTGCTGAGAGAAACAATCACTAGCGTCACTGAAATAACGTAGAGCAGGTCCAAGTGTTTGGAAAACTTCAAATCCGAAGTACATAGCTGCTGCAGTGACTGCTGACAGGTCACCACAGGAAGCACATTGCAAGCCAGAAAGCCAGCCTGAGCTTGATTTCTTCTCAAGGTGAAGGACAAAGTGGGTCCCAGCGAGATTATAATTTTTTTTTTTTCTGAATTACTTAGTGGAAGGAGGCAGCACTTTCTATGAAAGTGTGTGTGGAGTGGTAGATGTCTCTATGTAAACTTAAATATACTTCTATTTAATGTTCATTGACACGGTCCATTATCTCTCACTGCGCTTCCTTGGCCACGCATTTTAGCAGTGCTTATATATTTCTGTACTATTGTGATGAAATTACACATAATCCTATTTCCCTGTAAATGTTCATATCTTATCAGCACTATTCTGTCAGTCTACTTTTCACTTTTTAAATAATATGTTTTAGAGAGAGTGGAAAGGAAGGAGAGAGAGAAAAATCGATGTGACAGAGACACATCGATTGGTTGCCTCCTGCACACGCCCTGACTGGGGTTGGGAATCAAACCTGCAAGCCTTCAGTGTAGGTGCCCTTGACAGGGAAATTGAACCACTGAGCCACACTGGCCAGGGTGGGAGTTCTTTTTTTCTTAACTGTAATGTGAGTCTTTTTTTAGAAAAAAAATGTTTTTTTATAATTTAAAATATTTTAAATTATAGTTGGCATACAATATTATATTAGTTGCAGGTGTACAGCATGGTGATTAGATATTTATATAACTTACAAAGTGATCACCTTGAGAAGGCTAGTATCCACCTGACATCGTACATCAGTATTACAATACTGTTGACTATTAGCAATACTGTTGTTCTTTTAGCAAGAAAGGAGTGGGTGTCTTCTTCTGGTAACTGTATCGCACACTAAATACTGACCGATGCTCTGCCACAGAATACCTCTTTTACTATGTGAAGTGTAGGAAGTTAAATGTTCTATAAATGGAGCATTAGACAAGTATACAGTGTGTTGTTTTCCAGTGTGATTGAAAAAATGGAGCATTCTTCATTGTGGTTTAAAACCTTTTGAGTAAACTCATTTGTATTAATTTATTGAAATGTTCGCAAGCTTAGAAACATAACTGCAACAAATGTTATAGAGCAGCGGTTCTCAACCTGTGGGTCGAGACCCCTTTGGGAGTTGAACGACCCTTTCACAGGGGTCGCCTGAGACCATCGGAAAACACATAGATAATTACAGATTGTTTTTTGTGATTAATCACTATGCTTTAATTATGTTCAATTTGTAACAATGAAAATACATCCTGCATATCAGATATTTACATGACGATTCCTAACAGTAGCAAAATTACAGTTATGAAGTAGCAAGGAAAATAATTTTATGGTTGGGGGTCACCGCCACATGAGGAACTGTATTAAAGGGTCGCGGCATTAGGAAGGTTGAGAACCACTGTTATAGAGAGTTTATATCTCTACTTGTAAGGAGCTCACTCAATAGCAAAACTTTGCCCAAATTAAGCTAAGATTTGTACTTTTTTTCTGTCAAATTGTACAGTGGTACCCAATCCTGGTGAGGGGATCCTTTACTACTGGGGAGAGTATAAATTGATATAAATTTTCTTAAAAATTTATAAAAAGTATAAAGAACCTTTAAATGTTAATATAATTTATCTCTAAGGAAGCTTTCCTAATGAGAAGGTTAGAATTATGGACCAATTTGGTCCGTATGAAATAATAGATTATTCCAGCAGCATTTATATTTGTTAAAATATTTGGAAACAGAAATAATTTAAAAGAATAACTAAGTTAGGTGTGATCTCTCCATAGCTTCAATATAATGTTGTTAAAAATAAGGTGTTTATACCATTATTACCATTTTTGTAACACAGAGAAATATTTATTTACTTAGAAGAAATGTGTCACATATTGCCAATAGCTATTTGTGGATTATGGGGGTCACATGCCATTTTTATTCATTCTTTTTTGGCATTTCCCAATTTTCCCATAATGAATATGAATTATTTCTACAATGCTAAAAAAATTCACTGTATTTTTTTAAAAGACAAAATAAAAATGTGAGTGTGTGTGCTGAGATCCTTTTCTTAAAAGAAATAATGGGTGAAAAAAAGTGTTTTGACCCACGACATTGGGTGGGGCCATCCTGCACTCAAAAAGAACTTTCTATTGCTAGACTAGGAAAGGTGTTACCGAGTATCTTGTTCCTGTGAGGTCTGGCTTTCTCAGTCCTGCCTCGAAGGGAGTGTTTAAAGGAAGTCGTCACAATAGCTCATTCTTCGGTGTTCGCGTCAATCACACCATTCTATTTTCCTCTTCCTGGAGGGCTTCTGTTTTCTTTTCTGTGAGATGTATGGGACTGAGGTCACTGGGGCTGTGGTGCCACTCACGAGGGGCCAGGAGCCAGTTTAAGGAAACGGTTTGTCTTAATTTATCCAGATAGCCAAAGCTAACTCATGTCAGGTTGGGGAGATAATGATCTCAAGACATAATTCCCCCTTTTGCGCAGTCCGTGTGGAAAACGGGGCCCCCAGTATTCCTGAACAAGGGGCTAATTGTCTTCCTTCCGACGGTGATGAAAACACATGTGGGTCTAAATGCGCTATGTGTACATCCTCGCTACCTTTCCATGTGTGTGAGTGTGAGGGGCGGGGCAGGAGGGAGAGATTCCTCCCGAGATCTGAGGTCTGTCCTTCCATTGGGGCATCCATGGCACAGCACTAGGGGGTTCAGGTCTATTAGTTTGTCATTTGATGACAGGAAACCCTTCGTATAAAGCCACCTACTTCTGGAGCTGGAAAATCCTTATGAATTTAGTTTCAATTTGCCCTTCCATTCCTTGCCAGGTACTTGCACATGTGCCTGTAATTCCTAAACTAGGTTATTCACCCCCTGGGTTATGCTGCCTAGCTAGGAGACCCTTGAATAAGCCTCATGATATCTGGAAAGATTCACCATGCTTACTTATCCCCTTGACTTCCCATGCGTTTCCAGCACGGCGTTGAAGAGGATGGCTTCACTAATGCATAATTACCCAATAACATTATGTTAGCACATGGAAGCTGAGTGGCTCTAAAGCAGTGGTTCTCAACCTTCTGGCCCTTTAAATACAGCTCCTCATGTTGTGACCCCCAACCATAAAATTATTTTCGTTGCTATTTCATCACTGTAATGTTGCTACTGTTATGAATCGTCATGTAAATATCTGATATGCAGGATGGTCTTAGGCGACCCCTGTGAAAGGGTCGGGTCGTTCGACTGCCAAAGGGGTTGCGACCCACAGGTTGAGAACCGCTGCTCTAAAGGCTTTCTTTCTGTTTGTTTGCCTTTGCCTTGACATTTAAGGGCCACTGATTTAATCTTAAAATTAGAACCTTTAGACAAGGTGATGGTTAGGAACTTCAAGTTGCCATTGTACCGACAGTGAAAATGTGTAGCGGTCAACTCCGGCCCAGTCCCCTCGCAGATAAGAGTTCTTGGACTTTGGAATCTAGAAACTTTTTTTTTCTTTTCTGAATAACAGGGACTAATATGATCTGAAGCTGATGTTTCTTCCCCTTTATGCACAAGTCCTTTATATAAAAAAGAAGCAGTGTTGACAAATTCTGTCTTAGAATTGATAGAAGAGTGTGTTGGGTTCATTCGGCCCCGTGGAATCTAAAACAGTAACTGGTCCCCTGAATGCTAGCTGCCTATACGACAGCCCCTACTTGGATGTTTAATAAGCATCTCAAACGCAAGGTGTTACTCTTGGTTACCCCACAGCCCACAGATGACCTCCCCCCCACGTTTTTTTCTTTCTTACACAAAGGAGCTCCCCGTTTGCCAGGTTTTTCAAGCAGAGGTTCTGGACTTACCCTCAGTTCTTTGCTTTCCCTTTCCCTTCGCCAGTCTGTCCTCACCACAATTGTTGTTGACATGACTTCTAAAATGTTTCCCTAAGTCACCGACTTCTCCCCATCACTGTTGTTACCGCCCCGTTCCAATCACGGTCTTCTCTTATCTGGACGATTGCACTGTCTTCTAAACCACTTTCTTACTCTCTTAGGATCTCGTTTCTACCAAGCAGCGAGTCATCCTTCTAAACCCACACCCTGTTTAAAGTCATTCCTTGATTTTTCATAGCAGTTAGAACGAAAGAGTTAACCCCTTACACTGGTTTACAAATCCCTTGGGGGCCCAGTCCCACCATCTCTGCGGCCTCAACTCCCACCACTCTCTGGGTGCCACAATTCTCCAGAGCCCTGGACTTTCTGCTCTCTGAGCATTTCAATCCATCAACCTGAGGGCCTTCCCCTACTAGGAATGGTCTTTCCTCATCCTCCCACGAATGGCTCCTTCTAATATTTCGGACAAGAGGTTCTGATAAAGGTGATCCCTCATGGAGACCTTCCCTGACCACCTCATTATTTAGAACCCCTCTCCTCCGAATCCGGCTTCATCTGTCACACACCCCTGCTAGGCGCCTGTTTACATTAGCTGAATACTGTTTGTAGCTAACACCACCACCCATGCTCCTGCCGAATTTAAGACCCATGGGAGCAGGGTCCTCATCTGCTTTTTCATCATCGTGTCACCAAGATGACAGGAAGGGACTCGATAAATGGTGTGGCATGAACCCAGCCTCAGCTGTTGTTCATATGCTGTGCAATCCAGCTATCTCGCAACTTGGGAATCAATAGGTTGTTTCTGCCTGTTCTGTTTCTACAGCAGACCGGACTGTACGAGTATAAAGTCTTTGGTGTTCTGGAGGATTGCCCGCCGGCTCTGCTCGCGGATGTCTATATGGACTTAGACTACAGAAAACAGTGGGACCAATATGTTAAAGGTGAGTAACACCCACTGTTTTGTAAAAAGTCAATTAGAAAGTAGAATCTATTGTTATTTATCCTACCTAGCAGGATAAATTTCTAACAGGTTTAATTTCTTTTTAAAAAAATGTATTTTATTGATTTTTTACAGAGAGGAAGGGAGAGGAATAGAGAGTTAGAAACATCGATGAGAGAAAAACATCAATCAGCTGCCTCCTGCACACCCCCTACTGGGGATGTGCCTGCAACCAAGGTACATGCCCTTGACCGGAATCGAACCTGGGACCCTTCAGTCCCCAGGCTGATGCTCTATCCAGTGAGCCAAACCGTCTAGGGCAGGTTTAATTTCTACTCTGTGATGTTTCATTTTAAAGTTTGGCATCAAAGTCTTAAGTGCTGGGCTGAAATGTGCCTTTGCTATTCCTAGGACTTGCTCTTTGCATACTTTCTGATCCACTCCTCAGTTTGCTCAGAGGGCTGCTCTGTTCTCTCTGTAAGTTGGTTGCCATCTGTATACCTACGTATCATGGAAGGCTTCTTGGAGGAGGTGGTGCCCGAGCTTTATTTTGGAAGTTGAACACAAGAATACTATATGTGAGGAAGTTCGGGTAAGGGCATGAGTGGTGCAAGGGCATTCCAGGCCCAGAGAACAGCATGAGTCAAGTCAGGAAAGTGTGAGACAGCATGATATGTACAAATGGAGAGTAATTGGGCAGCAGAATCTGGAGTTAGGGTGGGAAGAGGGTTCAGATCCCCAAGGCCTAGGCTGGCTGCCAGTCTGCAGTCCTTAGATTGTACCCTATGGGTGATGGAGAGTTATGAAAGGCATTAAATGGGATCCCGCTGCCACAGAGCTGGGAGAGACCTCTGCCACCTTGGTCACAGTGGCATAGAACTACGGAGTGGCCAAGGGGCGCACAGACTCTGAAAGACCTCGTAGTCAGGTCTCCTGGTTGCAGATAACAAACATGCTAACGAATGCCCGTGTAAGAAAGGGAAAAGTTTATTGGTGCGTGGCATTGAAAACTCCACAGGTGGGTGTCTGGCTTCCAGGAGAACTGCATCCAACACTTGAATCATTTCTCCATCTTTTGACTCCGTTTTTCTGCCCGAATCCTCAGGCAGATTCCCATGTCATGCAAAGGTGCCACCAGAAGATCCAGGCTCAGAGTAACCATATGATTAACCCCAGAGGAACAGGAACGAGAATCCCACTTCCTGACGCTGGCTGGCAGCCAGAGCCCAGGGTTGGCTCTCGTTGGCTCAGCATGGACCACATGCTTATTCCCTGTGGACCTTTCTCATGGCTTTGGGTCACTTACTGTTTCCAGATACGCTTCATATCTAGGGGGAATTGTGATGCTCGCCCATCCAAGGGACAAACTGTTCTCTCGGTCCCAGGCTCCCTAGCAGCCATCCCAGTCATGTGACTGAAGTGGCCGATAAGGCGCACACGTGTCTTCAGTTTGAGAGAGAGCAACGCGAGGAGGCAGGCGGCACGCAGAACCCATTTTCCGGTGATAGTCCCAGCAGCGGCATCCTGACTTTGGGGCAGACAGTTGCAGGGCTTCTGACATTCGGTTCTCACGCCATGGTGTCCGGTCCACCCGGCTGGCTTCTCTGGAACAATCCTGAGGTCTAACCCTAACTCTGGTCCTCCCGGATATTCCGGGAGCTCCCTGAGAGCCTTTACTAAACCACCTTCCGGCTTTAACCTGCTCGAGCGGCAAGCTGAGGCCCTGGCCAGATGCACCTCCCCGAACTTACCCCCGGGGCCATGTCTTGCCACTTTCCCAGCCCTGGGATGAATGCTGGGCCAGCTCTGCTGAAGCCACATCGTCGAGAAGGAGGGGAAGGCGATGCCCCGAAGGAGCATTGAGATGCCAGTCCACGAACGGGGAGTCAACGCCGAGCATGGGAAAGCAACAGGTGTCCACCTCTTCCCTTCCTTTCAGGGCTGCCTTCAGTCCCTGTGGCACCAGTGGGAGGGCAAGCGCTTCATTAGTTTTTCTTTTCAAAAACTGAGTTAAGTAGTAAGTTTTCCCCTCATCTGCTTCTCAAGGGGCCCCTGGGTTACTTCAGCAGCCTTGGCTTGGCTTCCTCCGTAAATGTCAGGGAGATGTCTGCAGTCCAGCTGGGGTTAGAGGGGACACATATCATCGAATTCCTTTGCTACCTCCCTCCAGGAGCGGCCGCTGTCTGCACACCAGAGCATGATGGGATCGGAAGGAGATCGGGTCACTGCAGCTGTGGTATAGTGCACAGGAACATGGGAGAGGAGCAAGACGCTTCGCCCCAGTTATGCCACTTCCTCTTTGTCGGGGAAGGACACTGCCTTCTCCAGAACCGTTATTTCCCAGCGAAATGTGCTGGACTAGGCGACTCAGTCCTGAGCCAGTGGTCATGTCTTAAAATCGAGGGAAGAAAAGGTCTTCAAAGCAAAATTGTTGGTACTCTAGTGACATCTGGTGGTCACCCTGATCTTGAAACTTGAAGGTTTATTCTTGCCTGCGGGATAGTGATTCATTGCAGCCTACCTGGGAATCTTGTTTTTGCTCTGAGATAGACACGTTTTGTTGGGTTCTCTGATGTTGACTCTGCTTTCATATCTGCTGGACTGAGCCCCTCGGCAGCAAGCTTTCAGCGGTAATGAACAGGCCTGACTTTTTTAGAATTCTGTGCTGTACGCATTCATGGTTTGTTGTGTTCTACGAGGTCATCCTACGTAGGCTTTGTGTTAATTGAAACCGAAGAGGCTTCCAGATGCATTAACTTCTTTTGTTCTCCTCAGAACTCTATGAAAAGGAATGCAACGGCAAGACTGTGGTCTACTGGGAAGTGAAGTACCCTTTTCCCATGTCCAACAGGGATGTATCCTTTCCCAGGTATGTCCAGCAAGTGTGGACAGCGTTGTCTTTGATCCTTGCGGAAGCATCTGCTAAAGCTGTTTTTGCACCTTGTGCAGCTTGTGGAGACTTCAGAGTGGGATTTCTGGGCCTGACTATGTGGAGCGTCTGTAACTCTGGTCACTGGAGGGCAGCCTCTACTTTCCTGAGACGTTTTCTAGGGCTTGAAGTTGTTGGGCCACAGAACTGGGGACTTGGAAAGACCTTTTAATCAAGCTTAACACACTCCCCAGTCTAGAGAGAGGTAAAATGACAGCGGGATCCATGCAGGCGATTGGCGGCAGAGTGGGGACGAGAGCCCCCACAATTCCAGCTCTCCTCAGATCTCATGTTTGATGGACCCCACAGTGGTCCCTCCATCACTCTTGGCTCTGGACACTGCATGTCTGCTTCTTCCCCTCAATTTCCTTATGTATCTTATGATGCAGCTGAATGGAATGTGGGGAGTTTGAGCTGCCACTCCGAGGTTCTAAGAAGCCCACTTAGGACTTGCCTGGGAGAGTAGGATGGGAATTTGCTGGGAGAGCAGTACGGGGGTAGGATGACTGACAGGCAAGCTTTCTCTTTAATCACAGCAGCTGAGCACTTCACACACTGAATTTCCAGATAAGATCCTCGGAGCAAAGGGGCTCGTGGATTAAAACATAACCTTGGAAACCACTGAGTTAGGTGATCACTGGATCTTTTCTAGCCCTGACATTCTATAAGTCTGTTGGTTCCTAAATAATCATTCTCTAAAAAGAGAGGGAGTGTGTGGGTATGTTCTGTGTGTTTGGGCTGTACGTGTTTTTGTGTCTACCTGGCCCCTGACTAGATTTTAAACTCCATAAGGGTTTATTTTTTGCCACAGTTCTCATACCCTGCTAGATAGCTTACATTACATATGGCATGCATTTCAACAAATTGTGGATTACTTAACCCCTTAGATTTAATGTGGTTTTCTCTAATCCTGCCGACAAGGGTGCAGAACGGGCATCATCAGCCCCATTTCACAGTGAGGGAAACTGAGGCAAAGAGAAGTTCAGAACTTGACTCAGGTTCACAGAGCTGGTGGGTGGAAAAGGCAGGTTTGGGACCAGGTCCAGCTGTCTCCAGAGAAGGTGATCTTGACCAGGCCTTGGTCCTCCTCTCTGACCTCACAGGGACACTGCTGGGTAGGTATTCACAGGGGTGAATACTCAGGACTCCTTAAACTTTTATTTCATTGGCTTTCCAGTGCCACACGATCCCACGAGTTGTTGTTGTTTTTAGGCTTTCTATATGCATATTTGTCTCTCTAGTAAGGGTTGTTAAAATTTTGAAAACAGAATAGTGCAGTGGTGAAGAACATTCATTTTGGAGAGAAAGATCCCAGGTTGTGTATGCAGCCATCCTCTGGTTTGCTGTGTGACCTTGTGTGACCTTGGAAAAGGCCTTTTGGGTCCCTGGGCCTCAGTGAACTGGTGGTTCGCCAGTCATAGGCGCTGGGGTATGCTGGACCTCCCAACCCTTCAAAGACCTCCGCCAAATTTTAATCAATATGTGTATCAAGTTAATTTTCCCTCAGTGGTGTGTCAGGTGACATCTCTCATGTGAGCTGAGTAAGTTGTGGGAGAGAGTGGAGCAATTGCTGTGAAGTGGAAGAGAAGTGACCCGGAGCCAAAAGCAACGTAACTTCTTCCTTAAAACATCTGAGAACTTTACTCCCCGTGACGTAGAGACCGAGGGCAATAGACCGTCCTGCAGGATGCCTGAGTGATGAGTGGAACAACTGTGAATGCTTTTGAGACTCTGAGGAGCATGGGGCTGTGGTTGTTGCTATTACAGTAAGTGTAACTGTGTTATACTTTAGAGTTATTTTTTTTTATTGTCTTAGGCTTTTAATTACTTTTAGTATTAAATCTAAAATTCTGTCCTTTGAAAGTATATAGGCAAAGGATTGAGCCCGTCCACCTATGAAAGTCTAAATAGGTTTTGAAGCCAGATCTGGGTTCCGATTCAGGTTTCATCACTTGAGCTGGGCAGGGGACCTTGGGCATGTTTCTTTACCTCTCTGGTATAATGTTGTCACCTGTAAGACCGGGACACTTATACTGAACTTATGGTGATTTGTCAGGATCAAAATAGATGCTATAGGGAAAGCACATGGTAAGGGCTCCTTAAGTGGTGACTTCTCATTCTTAGGATTTAGTGATCTTCCCTGGAAGAGTGATATCGGCATAGTGATTGTTCTGTGTTTATTGTGATGAAATTAACTGTCATTCTTGGTGAACCAGTGCTGACTCAGAGTTAAATACTCAGGAAGTCAGTGCCTTCCTACGAGCACCTACATTGCTTGCCTGTCCGCTGTGCACAGAGGTCAGTACTTAGAGCTTTGGGGGAAGTCAGGACAAAACAGAATGACTTGGAATGTTTGTCGAGTGCTTGTTCTGGTCCAGTCCTCCTGTAATGCCCCCACCAAGCTTGCCTGCTGGGTGATGGTCCCCCCTTTTCCCACATAGAGAAACTGCGTCTCAGAAAAGTTGAGTAAATAAGCCAGGATTACACAGCTGACAAACAATCAATCCTCCGCTATCTCCCAGTGCCTTCTTAGAGAAAGGAGTGGTTTCCCCGCACAATTCAAAGCAGCAAGGAATGGTTGACAGGTAGGGCAATGCATGTTCTCAAGTGATACACCAGGTGGTACAGGCACAATCTTGCAGTGCAGGTAAGGAGATGGGGCAGGTGGGTGAAGTAACAGTTCAAGGGAGACAATGGGGGAACAGAACCCCCTCCTTTGGCTTCTGGCTTGGGGTGCTTTCCTTCTGCCCATCTGAGATGCTGGTGTGATGTCACGCCTTGACTGGCACTGCAGTATGTCTACATCCGTCAGCGGCGAGAGCTGGACGTGGAAGGACGGAAGATCTACGTGGTCCTGGCCCAGAGCACCTCCGTGCCACAGTTTGCTGAGAGGTCGGGCGTGATCCGGGTGAAGGGGTACAAGCAGAGCCTGGCGATTGAGAGCGATGGCAAGAAGGGGAGCAAAGGTAAAGCCGGGTGCATGCCAGCACACCGGCCAGGGCCGCCCAGGCAAAGGGCACGCTGATCGTGAGGCATGTAAATGCATGATCCTTGTTCCCAGAGGCCAGAGAACGAGCAGGGGTGCAAGACAAACATGGGGAGAGATTCAGTTCATCCCAGAAACTTGGCTAGAGTGCAAGGTGGATGCTTAAATCTGACCCAATCCATTCTTTACTGACTGTTGTCCAGATGGAATAGAACATCAAAGTCCACCAGAGGGCTCAGAATTGACTCCAGGTGGGTCCTGGGGGGCTAGGGGCAAAGAGCCCGTAGGAATGTTTCGGGGGACATGGCTCCTTCTCAGCAAAAACCCAGAGTCTCAGGGCCTGCCCACCTTGAATTCAAACCACGAGAAGAGCTGGGGCAGAGCGTGGGCCACCTGGCCACCTGCCCTACTGGCATGAGAAGGCCTGGAACCGGAGGCAAAATCCAAGCCATAGTTCTGACGCCTGTTAGATCTGTCACCTTGACAAGTCAACCCACACTTCTTCGTCTCCATTTTACTCTTACACACTGGGGTTTAATGTCACCAACTCCTTACCATAGTTAGGTTAACAAATGGAGAAATAATGAGACTTTATCCAGGTGTCTGGCACTTGCCAGGTACTTAAGAAATAGCAGCCAAATCTACCTTGACTATGTTTTCACAAATGTTTACATATAAATGCCCTGGAAGACAAGGCAGAGGAGAGAATCCACCTGACCTAGTGTCCCCTCCCCCCTCTCCTTCTGGGTCTGAATCTGAAGGGGGCGGTTCGCAGGGTTGGTGGCTGTACCTTTCTAACCCGTTTTCTCCTGCTGACCCGTGCTTTCTCTCCCCCTCTAGTGTTCATGCATTACTTCGATAACCCAGGTGGCCAAATTCCGTCCTGGCTCATTAACTGGGCCGCCAAGGTGAGATCCCAGGAGGCAGAGGGGGGAAGTGTGTTTGACAAATGTTGACTTAGCCCTTGGGGGCTGTCAGGCCGAAGAGACACGCTGTCTCGGGCCTAATGAGGGTCTTTTATGAAGCAGCGTGGTTGAGTGACCACGGTTAGGACCGGGGTTGCCAACACCCAGGATGAAGCTGGGGCAAAAGACAAAGAATCCTCAGCTGGAATGCCAGCCCCTCCCTGCTAGCGCCCCGAGACCCCGCCAGGATCACTCTCTGGAACCTCGGACAATAGGCTGCTCCTCAGGCGGACAATGGTGCCTTTGGACCCTGTGTCTGCTTATGGAGGAGCTGGGCTGGCTGGGGAGATAGCCTGAGCCTCGGGTTTTGTTTCTATTGTTTTGCCCTGTTGCCCTGTGAGGAGAGGGAACCACAATGGTCGCCCCGATCACCAGAGACTACCTAGGCGCCTGGTTTCACCGGGACCGTTCAGCCTGCTGTGTACCTGTCCTACTCACTGGCTGGAGGGCTCAGCAGATCCACTGGGAGCGTGACAAAGCTCAGAGGCTTTGGGTCAAACCCAGGTGCCTTTGAATCCAGGCCCTGCGCTGTGTAATTGATGGAAGCCATCGAGTTTTTCCCCTTTTAAAAGGGACTGGATATTACCTACTGCGTAGAGTGGGAGTAGAGAAGACAATGTTTGTGGAAAGTCTTGCCAATGGTCAACACTCACTAAGCAATAGTATGTATATCCAGCCTCACGCCCCCAAATCCTTACCCGTCTCTAATTCTGCAAAGCGAGTCCTTTCACTTCCTCAGGGGAGTTGAATAACCCAGACCCATCCCATGCCCGTGTTTTCTTTTTCTTTTCAAGAAACGGTGTCTCAGAAATGTCTTGGCTTTTCATTAGCAAATGCCAAAGTATAAGGCAGTGCCTTGCAACAGTGGCCTCTGTGGTCTAGTCTCACCTGCGCCCTGGATCTTACCTTTCGCCATCCTCTGTGGCAACTTGAAACCCGGTCCAGACCCTATTGTCTTTCATTCTTCCCGGAGTCGCCTTTGTCTACCTGAGCCACACGCCAAGGAATCGGGAGTGACTGCTGTGAGAACCTAGACCTGACAGTCTCCTTTGCTTTGCAGAACGGAGTTCCTAACTTCTTGAAAGACTTGGCGAAAGCCTGTCAGAACTACCTCCAGAAAACCTAAGGAAGGGGCTTGGGAAGCTCGTGCCCATGCACCGACGTCTGCGGAAGAGCCACAGCCCACGGACGCTCGGCCTTCCTTTCGCTTTCCCGTCCTCAGAGGCCGGCACACCGTCCAGCTCGGCCCCAGCCTCCCTGTGTGCCTGACGCCTAGCTTCCTTTCCCACTCGCCCTGCCCTGGGCCCCGCTGGCTGCCTCCTTCCACAGTTGAATATGCGTCAGATTAGGGAAACTTCTGCTTGTTTGTTTTTCAAAAGGGAAGTCTTCAGCAGGGAACACAAACACTCCATTGTGCCTTTGGAAGGGGATGGGTGGGTGGAGAAGCCACAACAACAACAAAACACACAAAAGAATGCCCTCTCCAGGCAAGCTGGCTCCTGCCCAGAACTGGATTTCTTGGGACTCCAAGTTGCATTCCCTGCAGAGTCCGCTCACAGTGCGCCAAGACTGGAAGGCTGGGTTGACGTCCCTTTGCCTTAAGTCTGGTGACTTGATTTGGCTGGGACCTGAGGGGATAACCCAATAATTTTCTGCCCTTCTCCACAGCTGGAGGATCACAAGCTGCTTTGATTTGAAAAACACTGTAGGCCTGGCTACGCATATGACTGTGATGTGACAACCATTTTCTCATCACCCATGTCTGGGTGTTTCTCTATCCCATATCCCACTGGGGAGAGGTTGGCCACACCTCACTAGCTCTTCATTTTACTGGCAATGGAGGCATCCGGATGGGTCTGGGGATGCTTTGCACACAGCCCTGTGATAAAGTGTCCTTATAGACAGTACGATGAATTTCCCCTTGGGAAGGTTTAGAGATGTTGACAGGATCATGGTGGATTGGTTGACTCTCTACTTTTTTCTCAGGAATTCTACCCAAGTTGTCTGCCTCTTTCCACCACCCAAAGACTTCTATGTTTTCTCCTGAATTTTGGTAGGGCCAGATATCTATCCTGTGACACAGCCTTGATGATCTCAGAGAAAACGTTTAAGCACTGTGTGTGACGGTGTCAACCTTGATGAACGGGCATAGGCATTCAGGAGGTAAAGCCAGAAGCCAGGGGTTTATGAAAACGGGATATCTCAGACTGTACGTTTTCTCTCTGGGAAGGAAAGTGATTGAATACCAAATAAATACAGAGTGGCTTCTATTTATCCTGTGTGCAGCTTCCTTCCTACCTGGTTCCTTTTGTGAGAATGAATCAGTTGGACTCTTTGGTTTACAAGTCACATCTGACTGAATTCATGGACTTAAACAAACAAAGAATTTTAGGCTCACTTACCTGCAAGGCCAGGTGAAGAATGGCTTCAGGTATGGGTTGATACAGGTGCTCAAATTGATGTTATAATTCAGCTTTCTTCTTCAAGTTATTTTTGATGTTGGGCTGTAATTTGGTGGCTAGATTGCTGCTAACAGCAAAAGGTAGACTTGCATCTTCCCAGGCTCATGCTGAGCCAAAGGAGAGAAAGAGAGGGAGGGAGATAACATTTCTTTTCATTAAACCAACACCATCCCATGATTCCCTTTAAACCATGTGCCTATCCCTACCCCAGTCATTGTCATATGGATAGAATTATGCAACTAAGTGATACTTCATCAATGTATCATTAAAATGTCATCATCATGAGTGTAGCTGGAATTTAATGATAGATAAATTAAGTGCCTTATGTTAAAAAGGTCAAGTTGGAATTTTATGAATAGAGCCACTGAAACACAAGCACTGAGATTTTAGCCTTTGACCAGAGAATCAACATGAAATGGGATGCAAACCACAATTTTAAACAGTGTTTCATACCTGGCTAAGCACTGTGAGAATATTAAGAACATTGAGGTTCTAGGTAAGGCAGTTAGAAAGAAAAGTCACAAAGTTTGCTATAACTAGTAGAGTTTTGGTTCTTTGGCAAATATGCTTGCTAATTTGGAGAAGACAGTCCAATACACCATTGACATGTGAGGTTATGCGGGAAGCTGAGAACCCCTGAGCCAGAAGCACAAAATATATAGAGCTGGTGCTTCGAGGCTCACCAGATTTTCCAGAGTACGCCTCTCCACAGGGTCTGGATGCCCCCTTTGGAATTAGAAAGTCACACATATTTTGTCATTCCCCTAGCACTGTGTTTCACTTGTTTTCCCCGCGTCTGTGGCTCTAGATAGACACTGGTATCTTGTGAATAGAAACAGTTATGTGGCTTTGGTTACTGCCTTCTAGGGTCGGCTACAGAAGGCATTCGGAGGGTCCCTGAGTGAGTGAATACATCATTGAGAGGAGATTGACCAAATGACACCCAGGAGACAAACCCATCCAATATGCAGGTTTCGTTTGATTACATTAAATAATAATTTAATATTTAGTCATTTAATTCAAGTCAAGTTGTTGAAGCAAAATTTTTGGACTGGAACATGTAGTGTTCCCTTGGGCAGGATGTCCCGGATTCTTTGTGCGCCGGAGTTGAAGAATGAATCCACAGACAGAAGGTGGTACGGCAAAGGTGGAGATTTATTGAAGAACAAGTAAAGATTCCCACGTGGGGAGGGGGAAAGAATCTCACAGCACAGACTCCCACGTGGGAAGGGGGAAGAGTCCCACTGCGTTCCTTTTCCCTGTGGCTTATAAAGGCTGCAGATCCTGGTGCCTGGATATCCCCTGTGATTGGTCACTATCCCCTAGTACTGGTTACTGTAGTAACTCTGGGCTCAAAGGTCGAACCTCACATGGGACTTGTGAGGTTTTTCCTCCCCTCCTTATTTTTTTTTTTAATATATTTTATTGATTTTTTACAGAGAGGAAGGGAGAGGGATAGAGAGTTAGAAACATCGATGAGAGAGAAACATTGATGAGCTGCCTCCTGCACACCTCCCACCGGGGACGTGCCTGCAACCAACGTACATCCCCGTGACCGGAATCGAACCTGGGACCCTTGAGTCCGCAGGCCGATGCTCTATCCACTGAGCCAAACCGGTCAGGGCTCCTCCCCTCCTTATTGTTTCCCTATTCCCTTTGGGCTTTCTTCTTCTTCTTCTGCATAAAGGGCTTCTTTCCCTTTATTTTGTAAATATAGACCTTTTGCTTCTTCCCAGCTCTCTCATTCTATGGAAATGTACCTGTTGCAGCTTTTCAGCTCCCCTATTCTATGGAAATATACCTTTTGCTGCTCTGCAGCCCTGTGCTGCTTCCATGGTCCTCTTAATTTCCAGACTTTCTAAAATTTCTTAAATCTGTTCTTTTCACCCCTAAAAATTCCTGTTATAATATCTCCCCCCTTCCCCCCCCAAAAAAAAACCCCACATCATTTTTGGGTGTTCTAGATTCCTATGGGCCCTGCCTTTAAAGTACTAAGGTCCCTTCTTTGTGAAGGGCTGTCTTTGCTGGTGTGTCTACAGGTTATATTTTATTGCCAATCTGGGGCCAGAAGAAGGAAAGGAAAAGGAAAGACCTAAAACAATGTAAGCAGGTCCTTTCTCTCCAAAGTTTCTTTATCTGCACTCCCTCCCAAGTACAGGAAGATTTTTTTAAATTTTTTGCTTGAAATGATAGAAACACATTGTTTAGGTGCTCAGAGATTAGAACCAGCAAAACAGAAGGGCTTCAGAAAAATTATTTAGATTGCTAACCTATTTATATGTATTTGTGTGTTTGTGTATGTGTGTGTGTGTGTGTTTGTCTGCTTAAATACACGTAACATGTGCTCTCTTTCATGAGATATGAGAATGGAACGGCTGAGTGGCAGGTCGTGTGAGTGCCTGTTCAAGGTCTCTTTCTGCAGGCTGCACCAGGCTCAGTGCTGGGCTCTGGGTGGCAGAGTTCATACAGGAAGAAGGGACTCTTCCCCTGGGAATTGGCATTCTAGCGAGGATGCCATGCATGGTTTATGACTATAAACCATGAGAATGGGATCGCCAACCCAGGAAAGGAAAACATGCAACAGTTGAGGTGTTTGTGGCAACTGGTTCAAAAGGGAGTTGCTTATGCTAAGCATGACCTGTTATTACCAAAGACCTCACTTAATGGCAGTTTGGCTTTTAGAGACAGGAAATCTTACACCAGTCACTCAGGAATCCACCTGATCAGACCCTGGCCATCCCTGAAAGAAAAGTTCCCTTGCAATAAACAATCTGTTTTTTTCATGGTGTAGTTCCCTTGTTTCTACTCCCTTCTGCCTGAGGACGTCTTTCATTTTACAACTCCTCAGGGCTTTTATATAGCCATTTGATTGGGTGCTGCCTAATTCAAACTACTGTTTGTTTGCTCAAACAAATTCTTGAAATGTTGACTATGGCTCAGTTTGTCTCCTAACACCTCTGGGGTCAGAAGAGGACACCTAAGGAGACCCCAACATCCCCCAGGAGCAGCCAGTGTCCACGTAGGGACCCAGTGCACCCTTGAGCTGCTGCTCTCGCTACTCTGAAGGTCATGGGTACACCCCTCATTGTGAGCTCTCACACTTGATTTGAGCGTTCCTTTTTCTGGACTGGAGCCCAAAACTGGAGGGAATCAGACTGGGCCTGACTTAGAAACCCGCCTGGGTCAGAGGTCAAAGCGAGTCCGACTTCAGCTGAACTGGGAAGCGGGGCGTGTGCAGTGTGAGGCCTCAGGTGAGCTAAATTTTGTTTTAAGGCTGAACAAGCAGCCTAGCATAACCACGATTACAATGGCCACAGCGGAGAACGTTTAACCTAAACGAGCTTACCCAGTGATGAGGTGCCCTGGAGAACGCGGCGTCTCAGACCAACTCTCAGCACAAAGGGTGGCGGGGAAGTTCTTTTTCCTCGGCTGCGGTTTCTGTTGATGAGGATGAGCCCTGCTGGGACACCCCACTCACTCCGGAGCCCACAGACGGAGTCCTGGCAACCTGGCCGAAGCCGGCAAACGGTAAGAATTCTTACCAACGTCAGCTCCATCTCTGCCTCTGTCTGTGACGCGTGGTGGAAAGAGAAAGGTAAAATCGCACTTTTCCAAATGTATAATGGCAGCCAAACAACATTTGTAAGAATATTATCTTGGAACTGTGACTAGTGTATTTTCAGGCACCCACTGTCCGTCCTTTCTCGCATGGGGACAGCTTTTGCTTCTTGTTTGTCTCATTCTGTGTCCTGAGAATGTGGCTTGGCGGCTCTTAGATGGTCAGACAGACATGCTGGGTGGGTCCTATTTGGGCCGAGATGTGACGACAGAAGAGTGAGCGTGCCATTTGCCGTCAGGGTCCCGGGAATGTTGGTAGCTCTCTGGGGAGCAGGGGGACTGTCTTTTTTTAGCTTTTGGTTTCTCTCTGGAAGTGGCTCTGGGCACTGGGAGGGTCGTCTCGGTATCTTTTGCACCCTCTTTGGGGAAGCCGCTTGTTTTCAATACACATACTCAAGCTAGAGAACACGCAAATACCCAAATTGTCTGCTGAGGGAAGGAAGGAAGGAATCTGTGCCAGAAAGATGGGCCCCAACACACCTCCACGTAATCTCGTGTCCCACCTTAGTCTCACCACAGAGTGAACTTTGGAAACAAACGCATTTGCAGGATGTTCTAAAGCTGGAATTACTTTGCCTTTTGGTTATTTATTATTGTATTACGTTGTTTTGCTTTTCCATTTTGATCCAACACCTTTGAAGGACTTATACTCACCATCTTAAAGTCCACACACTTGGAGGGTATTACTGATTGAACTGGGGGAGGGGAGGGAGGCAGGGACTAAAGCTGGGATCCTGAAAGTTGCATAAACTTGGCTTCCCCCAGGGGCAAGTAAGGCGGTGGGCAGTGGGGGCCACATACCACATCCATTTTCTCCTATCTGTTTGCCCCGACTCCCCTCTAGGGGTTCATACACTGAGAAAAAGCCAGTGGGAAGCAAGCAGGATGAAAGCGGCCCTAGAGCTCCACGAAGGACATACAGCAACTCTTGTTTTATGTCAAGCAGCTTGCGAGGGGCAGGACTGTGTGTAAGTGGTCATGGATTCTGCTTCCCGTGAATGTGGCGTTTCATTTTCCCAGGGAACGTGAATGATAGTCTCCACTGGGAGCCTGTGTTTCAGGCCTGGTGGATTGAGTAATTACTGGACCGCCGAAAGCACCCAAGTAGGAGTTCACCCTCCACGACTTGGCTGGGCTCATGTTCCCACTCCAGCTACTCTAAGCTCTGTAAACAGCGCTCGTTTTTCCATGACC